TTTTCCCCCGAAGGGGACTCAGGGTTGACTCAGCCTTCCATCCTTCCGAGGTGTGGGTAAAATGAGGACCCAGATTGTTGGGGGCAATATGCTGACTCTCTGTAAACCGCTTAGAGAGGCCTGAAAGGCCTATGAAGCGGTATATAAGTCTACTGCTATTGCTATTGCTATATAAAACTTACTTAACTGCCTTGCTTAGCAGTGGAAATTTGTGATTCAATTGTAGTGGTAAGTTGACGACTACCTATAGCCCTATATGGATTAGTTCTCTAGGACTGCATAGCCCACTTAGTTTTCTTTATTTTTACCTAAGCTTATCAAAGGTTCGGCAAATGGGAGAATGTTAGATCTTGATAGATTGAGAGCCTCCCAGAGTTGCTCTTTGGTGAGATGGGCAGCATAGAAATTTAATAAATGCAGGTGGTCCTTGACTTATGACCACAGTTGAGCCCAACATTCATGTTGCTAAGTGAGACAGTTAAGTGAATTTTGCAATCAATCTTGCCACAGTTGTTAAGTGAATCATTGCAGTGGTTAAGTTAGTAACATGGTTGTTAAGTGAATCTGACTTCCTCATTGAGTTTGCTTGCCAGAACGTCACAAAAGATGATCACATGAGTCCAGGACACTGCGGCTGTCATAAATACGAGTCAATTGCCACACATCTACATTTTGATCTTGTGACCATGGGGATGCTGCAGTGGTTGTAAGTGTGATAAATGGTCATAAGTCACTTCTTTCAGTAGCGTTGTAATTCTGTCAGTGGCGTTGTAATTTTGAACACCCCCCTAAATGAACTGTTGTAAGTTGAAGACTACCTCTAAAACAAAATAGCCTGCTTTTTCTGCGAGTTATGCAAGAATGCCTGAAATTGCTGTCCTTTTTCTCTTTGTAGCAGCGGGCAAAATGAGTGTGAAGTCAGAACGCCGAGGGATCCATGTTGATCAGTCCGAACTGCTTTGCAAGAAAGGATGCGGTTACTATGGCAACGTAGCTTGGCAGGGCTACTGCTCCAAATGCTGGAGAGAAGAGTACCAAAAAGCCAGGCAGAAGCAAATCCAGGAAGATTGGGAGCTTGCTGAGAGGTAAGATTGTGCTGAGGAAGTGATGAGGGTCTAGGTTGTTTTTTTCTGTGATCAACAATGATACACTCCACTGTCAGCTAAATTACATGAAATATTGTTTGGGTCTTAAGACACAACTTTTAGTCTCAGCAGAGTGCATGTTGGCTGGCTGTCTCAGGAGACTAAAGCTTCAGATTGCTTTCATGAAGCTGCTGTACGAAACACATTTAGCTAGTTACTGGCCATAGCTTTCGTCTTTGAAACAGATATTTTAAAATCAAAATTAAATTTCAGGTACATTTCATATATATCCTACTTTAGATCAGGGGTCTCCAACCTGTGGGCTGCAGCCCACTACCAGGCCATGGCCTGTTGTCCACTGGGCTGCATGAGTGGCTGGACAGTGCGCGTGATATGTGTGGACGCACACAAACCCACCCCCATTCATGCTAGCTTCACCGTCAGCGTTTCATGGGCGCTAGCATCGCCGTGAACATTGCACGGGTACTAACACCGTGCACACATTCACAGGCCCATTTGTGGCGTGCACCCGCTCCCGGCCCCGTTCTCGCATGCGCATGTAAAGGCGCCTGTCCCTTCCCCATGAGCTGCCAACCCATAAAGGTTGGGGAACTCTGCTTTAGCTTAGGGGTCTCGAACCTTGGCAACTTTTTAAAGTCTTGCTGGCTGAGGAATTCTGGGAGTTGAAATCCACAAGACTTAAAGTTGCCAAGTTTGGAGACCCCTGCTTGACATGACATAGCAGACAGGAAGGCTGTAGATCAGTACCACAAGCAGCTTGAGTTGCCTGCCAGTATTTTAAAAAAATATAATACATTCTTCAATGCCTGAAAAATGTACTGCCAAGAGCCTCCAAGCATCCATGCCACCACTAGCACCAGTGTTACTACCCTTCCACTACCTATCAAATAGCTGATTGGTGTCACAAGTAGTCCTCTGATGCTTGCAACGATTTTTATTGTATCAGCATGAGCCTTTCCCCTCTGAGTTGTGTGGTAGGCCTGGTCTAGGTCATAAGAGTGCATCTTCTTGGGGGGAACTTGAGTGGCCCAGTGAGCACTGAATGGTGTACTATGGGCCACGTTGCAGTTGGGTAGGCTATGCTCAACTTTTGTGTAATTATCATTATTTTTCTTAGGAGAAGGTTGGTAAAACACTATTTTCTATCCAAAGGAAAAATACTTTATATTTACCAGAGGAGAGTGCTATGATACTGAAATTGTTCTCTCTAGGTATTATAAAAACAGGCTGTCTCCCAATCTAATACTGGTGTAGAGTGAAATTCCTTTATGCACTATATTGCCAAAAGTATTCGCTCACCCGCCTTTACTCGCATATGAACTTACTGTAAGTGACCTCCCATTCCTAGTCCATAGGGTTCAATATGATGTCGGTGCACCCTTTGCAGCTATAACAGCGTCAACTCTTCTGGAAAGGCTGTCCACAAGGTTCAGGAGTGTGTTTATGGGAATTTTTGACCATTTTTCCAGAAGCGCATTTGTGAGATCACACACTGATGTTGGAAGAGTTTACGTGGCCCACCACTTGGTGGCTGAGTTGCTGTCGTTCCCAAACACTTCCACTTTCTTATAATACAGCTGACAGTTGACTCTGGAATATTTAGGAGGGAGGAAATGTCACAACTGGATTTGTTGCACAGGTGGCATCCTATCACAATTCCACGCTGGAATTCACTGAGCTCCTGAGAGCAACCCATTCTTTCACAAATGTTGGTAAAAACAGTCTGCATGCCTAGGTACTTGATTTTATACACCTGTGGACATGGAAGTGATTGGAACACCTGATTCTGATTATTTGGATGTTTGAGTGAATACTTTTGGCAATATAGTGTAG